TAAATAAAGATATTAAAATGAAATTTGGCACAAAGGATCGCACTAGGGAGGGGCATATTTGGACGTAATTTTTTTGGAAAAGTGGGCGTGGCCCCGGCCCCTACTAACTTTTTTGTACATACCTCGAAAACTACTATAGCTATGTCAACCAAACTGCATAGAGTCGTTTCCTTCAGGCATTTTCATATACAGCTCAAAAATGGAAGAAATCGGATAATAACCACGCCCACCTCCCATACAAAGGTTATGTTGAAAATCACTAAAAGTGCGTTAACCGACTAACAAAAAGCGTCAGAAACACTAAATTCTACGGAAGAAATGTCAGAAGGAAGCTGCATTAAGGCTTGTTTTAAAAATTGAAAAAGATCTTGGCGTCGCCCACTTATGGACCAAAACCATATCTCAGGAAATACTCAACCGATTTCAATGAAATTCGGTATATAATATTTTGTTAACAACCTGATGACATGTACCAAATATGGGTGAAATCGGTTCAAAACCACGCCTGAAATCTCGATTATCACTTTATCATGCGAGAGTATAAAATGTTCGGTGACACCCGAACTTAGCCCTTCCTTACTTGTTTATAATATACTTTATATAATTTCCGACGTTTCTTTTAGGTGTTACCAACTTCGTGGTAAGCTTATACCGGCTATAACAATTATAAATGGGATTTTGTTGACTTCGGTTCAATAAAAATTCAAATTCATTATTACTTTAACAATAAATATAATATAACCCGTAATTTTGTTCGATTTGTTAATAGCGGATATATCTAATAAATTTTATACTGCTTACAACAAATAAATACAAAGTAATAACGGTTCTTTGCAGCCTTTAACATTGCAATGAGTTTGACACGGTTAGAAACTAATAATAAACTGTGGACAAGTTTGTGTTAGAATTAATGTGACAGTATAATAACAGTTAATGGGGTTTATATAACCTCAAAGCTAATGGAAATTTGGAACAAAAGTCTAACAATTACCATTATTATGGTTTATTATTTGATTGTTATTGTAAAATATGAGTTACACTGGAATAACTGGATCAACTAGTAAATTTTACAATTTTCCGTGCAGGGACAAGCGGTTAATTAATATTTATAATATAATAAATTAATATAATTTTAAAAATAATTTATATTGTAAGCGAAAAACGATCAAGAATACTTTTTATTTGAAATCATGCAATTAATTCGATTCAAAATGACCGAAATCGATATATCGAGTCGAATTTCTGAGTGTTTTCTTTTTTGCATAACTTGCTTGTTTTGTGTAAACCTCTGAGTTCTGTAATAAAATTTTTCTAATTTTTTTTTTTTTTTTTTTGATTTTGATATTTATTACGTTGGAAGAACGTAACTAAGAAAACATTGCTAATTTTCTTTTACTTAAAACAGTGCTTTGACTTTTTTAAAATCTCACCTATACTCTAACTATTTGGAATTAAAAAATACTTGTCGTTATTTGAAAACTCTATACATTAGGGCCGGTCAACAAAAGTGAGTGTTTTTTCGTCAACCTCATTTAACGAGTATCTATCTGTGTAGGTGAGTCGCAGCTATGGTAAGTCGATCTATTTCTGAAGCGGGTGGTTAATGGTGATGATAGGTGGGTCACTTAAGACAACGTCAAGTGAAAACGGTCGTGATCAAATCGCGATGATTGGACGCAAACAGTAGTTAAGGCATGATTGACAGTGAAAAGGTTTTCATATGTGTTTGTTGGGATCTCTGCCAATCCCTTACGGTCAAAATTTTAATTTTGTTTTATTCTGTCAAAAATGGGATCGTCTGAAGGATCTGCAATCGCTCACAACAGTTCACATTTGACCAATAAGTGAGGATAGCATGTCGACAGTAGCTCGTCATAAGCTCTAGAAG